ACCTTCATCCAATATTTATTTATTTATTTATTTTTCGATTTATAACCTGCCTTTTTCCTACAAAGGACTCAAGGCAGCTTACATCATTCTCCTCCTCCATCTGATCCCCACAACAACAACCCTGTGAGGTAGGTTGGGCTGAGAGTCTGTGACTGGCCCAAAGTCACCCAGTTGGCTTCATGGCTGAGCGGGGACTAGAACTCAGATCCTCTGAGTCCCAGTCCCATCCTCTTAACCACTATACCACACTGGCTCTCAGTAACATCCATTATCCTCAGCCAGAAGACTATTTCTCATACTGGGTGGAGTTGATGAAGTATAGTTCAATATATCTGAAGGGTACCGGGCTGGGAACAGCTGGGTTATTTCCAGGTAAAAATTAAGGCTGAAAATGCATACAGTGGGCATGGCAAGATAATACTTTTACACATACTTTAACATGCCTCTTTCTCCTGCTCCCAGAAGCACATACAGGGATGCACACACTTGCTAATTTGCTAAAAGTATGTTTGTATCTCCAAGGGATGAACATGGAAATAGAATAAAGGGAACTAGACTAGGAACTTAAAAAGGGCCTAGATTGGGATTTGCACCAAAAATATTCCAAAATTCCTGTGGTCTGCCCCACTGTCCTCCAATTTCATTTTAGCAGAAAATAAAGTAGTAGGTGCTACTGCTACTGTAGTGTGGCTCACTTAAAATGACATATGTTTATCTTTAGAGCAAGTGGAAAGCTGTCGTAAATGTAAACCTAATGGAGTACTCAAGAAGACCATATTAACATCCTATAAATCCCTTCAAAATTGGTGGGAGACAGCTGAGTGAACCAAAATGATTTGTCTGAGAGCCTGAAGAGAACACAGGAAGACAGAAATTACACTCTGTGTTGGTGATATCATTTTCCCATCCCAAATAAATTATCTGTCTTGGACCCTTCTTCAGGTTTCAAGTAGTTTTCTAGCCTCTGACTTTGTTTTATCACTAAGGCAGCTGTGGGGAGACTATTGATATTAGTCATAAAGTAGCTTAAATAAATTAATGATGTTAAAGCTAGATTCTGAAAAGGAAGAGTTCCTCAAGACAATATCACAAATATATATAAATGTAATAAATAAATAAGTTGGCTAGTGGAGCACATCAAAGAATTTCAGATCAGTCTATGCTTTAGAGTCTACAGCCAAGCCTTACCCATCATGAGAAGCTATAGATGGTCTTGAAAGAAATGGATGTGTTTCAACACTTGATCATCCTGGTGTGCTACCAATACCATGGAAGGGAAGCTTTGGTAAAGACAGAATAAGGTAGAAGAGAATGGTTCTTTATAGGCAAAGGTGTCAGACAAACGTGTATCTCCCTATCTTTTCAATCTATGCAAAACATATCATAAGGAAAACTGGATTAGGCTCAGAGAAAGGGGTGAAAATTGGTGCAGGAACATCAGTAATTTACAATATGTAGATAATAAGCTATAGCTGATTTTAAAAGCAATAAATAAATCTTGACAAAAGTGAAACAAAAAAGTGCAAAAGTAGAACTGCAGCTGAACATTAAGAAAACAAAACTTATGACTACAGAAGAATTAAAAAACTTTATTGTAGGCAATGAAGAAATTGAAATTATGAAAGATTTTGCATAACTGGATTCATTCATCAACTCAAAAGGAGTCAACAAATTCAAATAACACTTAGGCTTGGATGGGCAGCAATGACAGAACTAGGAAAAGGCATCAAGTGTTAGAACGTTTCACTGGAGACAAAGACCAACATAGGCCACACCATGGCTTATACCAGAGGCCTGAGTTTACAAGAACCGAGCAGGACTATGAAAGACAGGACATTTTGGAAGGCATTCATTCACAGGGTTACAATAAATCAGAGGTCAGTGGCAGCACCAAAGAACAACAAAATAAACAAAATCTCTTTCATCCCATTGGCTAAATTCAGTTCTGGAGAAACCCTCGGGGGCTTCATTCTAGTGATAAAAAGGACAAAGGGCGAAAGGGAGGCTTCGGCGAATGGGGCGGCATAAAAATGTTTTAATAAATAAATAAATAAAATAAATAAAATAGTGGGGTGAAAATAAAAGAAAAAAATCATCCTGCTTTCAAAGCTCTTGCTGCCAGTCACATAGGTCTTAGGAGAGACATTTCCATCTTTTAGAATTGGGGAACGGGAGCTACACAAAAGTCAAGAAACCTTGAAATGTTTGGTGGTAGGGATAAAGGAGATGGATCCAGGGACAGGGGATGTGGCCTATGGGGAACCCTTGCTTCCAGTAGGGCCAGATGGGGCCTGAGGTTTGTTTTCCTGAAGAAAGCCATCAAGAGAGGTGGGAGGGATTTAAATGAAAGAGAATCACTCACCTCTAGGTGCCTCTACTATTGTTTTCCATCCATGGATGTTCTTGAAATGTATTGCATGTGAATTGATTTATGTATGTTGAACTTGTTTCAAAACATTTTATATGTTAATCCAAGCAAAGGCATTTTGAACATCCATATGCTCTACTCAGAACTAAATCCTCCTAAATTCAGTGGGGCTTACTCTCAGGTAAGTGGATATAAAATTGCAGCTTGAATATAATTGATATAGTTTAAATATTAATGCATATAAAACAGTTACGTAAGTTCTAAATTACAACATAGCACCAGCTTTTAAAATCCACCTTCCTCTTGAGCTCTTTTCAAGTTGAAACAAGTATTTGTAAAATGTTCTTTTTAGAACTAGCCTCATTCAGTAGTCCTAATTTGTTGTCTTGATATTTCTGATTTTAGCAATCAAGCGCTACAAATCTGCTTTTCTGGAACATTTTATATGTAGAGCTTCTCACCTGAATTATTTAGTGTATGCTTTAAAGTAATTACCAGATTCCACATCTGCTCTTTGTGAACTTCAGTCACGTATGGCTGAGTGCACAGAATGAGCCCAAGGTCAAAAAGGTCACTTGTTTTTGATATGAAGCTAATGAGGGGCAAATATCTGTAGAAGTCCAAAAAGGGTTGCTAGGCAACATACCACAAGAATTTGGTCCGTCACGAGGCTTTGGAGCCTCTTTAGTTTGTTTATGTCAAGTACTGTGCCATACCGTTTGACAAACGACAGGCAGGAGAAAAAATATGACACAGAGCAGATGTTGTGATCGCAATTTTCCTTTGTCCTGCTTATAGGAAATTGTTCAAATTGGGTACCCTCCTCAACACAGTTTAGTAAAATGAAACCTGGCCATATGCCAGTTATTACCTTTCCAATTCAGATTGTGCTTGGTTTCGGTCTGACTGACTGACTGACATGGAATTTATGGAATTCTGCTTGGCGTGTGTAGAATGCAAAACAATAGGCCTTTCATCAAAATACAAGGGGCATCATATTCATATCATTAAATGTAAGATATTCTCCTGGTACTGTTTATTGCTATTTTGGGCACTGAGTTTCAATATAGTTTTGTTCTGTATTTGCTTGTGTTTCAAGACAAACTAACACGCACCAGTGATCTTTTTTTTTTTCCAACAAAGTAAAATATTAAACATTTCCCACAGTTTCAGGGGTTAGAGGTCACTAGCCTTTTGCTCAGGCACATTCCACAGCCATAGATATCTTAACTGGTTACCTGTTAATGGCACTTTTCAATTTATATGCCTTGAAAAAACTTAATCACAATCCATTATCTGTAAACTGTACTTTGAACTGTGCAGCTTGCTGCTGTTGGTTCAGATAGGGGTTCTCAGAAAGTTTCAGTGTGGTAGTCAACCATTGCAGTTTAGTGCTTTAACCTGATTTCCAGATTCTGTATTCATTATTTGTAAACTTCAATCACATATGATTCAGCATGTGGTATAAGCTTGGAGTTGTAAAGGCAGTCTTCTGATGATAAATGGAATGAGTAGTTTGGACAGAAGAATCAGAAATCTTTACCCTTCTCTGATCTACACATCTCCATTTTCTCCTGACCAAATCCATATTAAAGCAAGCAAACAAACACTTTTGGTACCTGTCAAAAGCAAGTGTCATTGAAAGGAGCTGGGGTGCATGTTTCCATCTTCCCAAGTACCTAGTATCAGAGGAATGGGTGAAAAAGTTTGAAGAAACAGGACTTGGGGGCAAAAACATTTGAAAACCTGGAGATGGGGGGGGGGACACTTACTTACTCTCAGGAACAAAGGTCATTCCAGCTTAGCTTTGATCTGACAGCTTGCCTTTTGACAGCTGAACAAAATGTTTAGATTTTGGCAAAATAAATGCAGCAGATTCCCTATTTGAGGCCATGCCAGGCCATTGTCCAGGGCTGCTACCCCCTCCTACCTTAAGACATTTTCCAGGCAAGGTTATTTATTGTGGTCCTGCAAAGATACACACCTATGCACCTGCACAAGTCTTACTAGAGGAATAATATTAGACCCCAAAATGGAAGTGTGAGAACCCCTTCAGTATGCCGCTTGAGCACTTGGAACAGCTGTCACTGGCTCTCAGTTCAGAGAACTGTTTGCAATGTTTGAAGGAAAACAAGGGGAAGGAGAGAAATCCCGTGGTAAGGCAAAACAAAAGGTCATGATTGTAGTAGGGAGAGGATACAAGGTGGCTTTGGCCACAAAGACCCCTGGAATACAAGCTGGAGGGAAATGAAGGATGGGGAATGACAACTTATGGTGAGAATGAGTATTTGTTGGGACCAGCATGGGTTGCGCACTCAGCAACCAACCTACCATGGCTTATTGTGAGAAGACTGCTGTACTAGATGGACCCTTGGTTGGGTTCCCATGGCTTTTCTTATATTCTTATGGTTGGTGAACTGTGGCCAGAATTTCTTACTATGAGTTAATCCAAGTTCTTACAGATTTAATTATAAAACCTGTAATACAAATTTCTGCAAAAAAGAAAGCATAGCTACATTTTCAAATGCAAGTAATGTGTTTGGATCTATATTAGTTGTAGACTGGTTAATATAAGTGTTTGGGTGGATCAGGTTAACATTAATGATAATCTAAACATTTTGTTCCTTTTTAGTTCTTTTGCTTGAGAAGATAGAGAATGATGATATTCATAACAAAACTTTGAAGATTACAGACTTTGGCTTGGCTAGAGAGTGGCACCGAACAACCAAAATGAGTGCTGCAGGAACTTATGCATGGATGGCACCTGAAGTTATCAAGTCATCCATGTTTTCTAAAGGAAGTGATATCTGGAGGTAATTTTTATTTCAGTATTCTGATTTAAGAAAAAACAAACTTCTGTGTAGCTCAGTTATCTTTGGCACAGCCTTGGTTTGAATGTTTTTTTCCAGATTAACACACAAAGCAGTCTGACTTGTTTAAATGTCAGAAGTATATTTTTAAACAATAGATGCTTTATTTTATTTACTTACAATAGTTCAACCTTCCCCAATCTCATGGCCATCAGAGGCATTTGGACTGCAAATTTCCAGAATTCCCATCCAGCAGGGTCATTGACTGGGAATTCTGGGTGTTGCAGTCCAAATATGTCTGGAAGGCACAAGGTCAGGGAAGGCTGCAATAGGTGAATGCTGCTTTTCAGTCATAATGGTTTTCAAAATGAATCACAGCAATGCAATAAAATTTATGGGCGGATCAAGCTACACTCTCAGTGACAGATCCACAGAATTCTGTGTGTTGTCATGTAAGGTCGTTGTTCTGCTCTCCTCAGAGATAACAGTGGCAGTGAAGTCCTGAGGGGTCCATTTCTTCAGAAGTGTCTCCCCAGTTCAACATGTGTTCCTTCTTCTACTGCTAGTACTGCTCTGGAGAGAAGAAAGCAACACTTCCAGCAGTTGCGGACAGTGAAGGATATAAAGTATTTTCCCTTGGCTTCATGCTAGTGACAAAAGGAGGCCCTAGCAGAAAGAGGGTGGATATAGAAATGTTTATCAGGACTCCCTTTAGTACAAGTGGGGTCCCTATTGTCTGTACAGTTCAGAATATGCCGGTTAACTAAAGACACCCTGTCTGTCTAATGCAAGTAACTGGATTCTTATGCTTCAGTGATGAGACTTGAAATATCCTGAGGAACTTGAGAGTGATTACTGTGGTTTGTGAATTTGTTATACAAGGAAATTAAAATAATGAGCCAAGAGAACTACTCTACTAATTCTACTACTCATATAAATTATGTAAGCTTAGTGGTTTTGCTTAATTTCACTTGTTTTCTATAATTTATTCTGTATTACATTGTTAGTTTTGCATACTTTATGCTGATACAGGGGTGATTCTGATATAACGCTAAGGCATAGTTTAGCATTACAAGAATGAGTCTGTGTGAGTCTCATGCTTCTTTTCTGGTGTGGCTACAAAGAGGAGTTTGGAAGCTTTTAATTCCATTATCAGCCAGTCACAGCTTGCCATGTCATCTAACACAACCAGGAGATGAGAGGGTAATGGGCAGTGCATGAGTTCCCAATAAATAAAGATCATTCTTGTAATACCAAACCGTAGCATCCAGATGCAGCTATAGGGAAACAATAGGGGAATGGATTATGCTCACAGTTAGCCTGTGTCTTCTGAATTCAGCAGGGCATTGTCTGCATAGTTTGAAACACATCTTCACTACCATAACATCAACCTTATTTAAACCAAGTAGAAGGACAACTGGTAATCATAAAAGCTGGGTTCTGTACCTGATTATTTGCTTTTTCAGTACTTTTGATATATTGCCCTGATTATTAGTTTCCCTTGTAATGTAATGCAGAGTAATGTGGTAATTCCTTTGAAACTCCAAATATTTGTTCTTTTATCTTTGAACTCAGAAAAAGAAAATACTGTATAAATCTAATCGATTTAAATCACTAGTCAGTAAGACTAGATTTAAGTCATGGTTTTCTACATAATTTGCATGCATGCCTGCCTTACCTGTAAGCAGAGGAACTTAATTAAAATATTCCAAAGCTGGGTCTTTTTTATGGCCTGCTGCCATTATAGGTTTTCTCCTCCAAGGGAAAGAATAATATGATAAACCTCAGGCTATACACAAAAAGTGTCAAAGACTTGTGAAGTGTTCTGCTCAAAAGGTTTCACTTTGATTTTTACTTTTTGTCCCTTTCTCCTCACATTTGGCTTCTTGTGCAGATCTGTTTCACTCCCACCAATCTTTTTCTATTTACTGAATTTTTAAAAACTTAGCACTTAATAAGTAAGGGCTTGATTTGTACATAGATTTACAAAGGAAGAATGGGATTAAGGTCTTTTCTCAACTCTGTGTATAAATTTTATAACATTTCTGTTGTGAAGAAGAGTCATGTGATCTCTGCAGACACAAACTCATAGTTTTGAGAACTGTAAAGCCAAGCATCTGTAATAATATTTTCTAGGTAGAAAAATGGCCCAATAATTGTACAGGAAGTTCTGGAAGAGCATGACAATTGTGAATAGCTTAATGGGATTCATTTACCAAAAAATGAATTTACAGCCTCATGCTACTTAATTAAAAACTAATTCTTACTTCATGATGAATGTTTGAATTACAATGTATCTTAAATAGAAAACTCTCTTTAGATATATTTCCTCAAAAAGCATTTTATTTAAAAAATCCAATTTAAATTACAAAAGCAATTTAAATTTTAAAAATCCATTTTTTATTTTCTAAAAAATTATTTTTATGTACCCTGATATAAATGTTTGCTGCTAATTTAGGTTTAGCTGTGCTTTTGGTATATTTGCTAGTACTAGTCAGTAGTACATGTTTCATTTGGACACAGAACATTCTTTAGTATTGTTATGTCTCCATTTATTTGGGAACAAGCCCTCTTGACTTTAAAACTTAACACTGTGGGCACAGTTACTTTTGGCACATAAGTTCCCAGAGACTGAATTGCAGTGTATTTGTTCATGGGCAGGAGAAAACGACTCAAGTGTTTCCTAAACAATTTAATTGCAGTTCCCAGTTAACTTCTGTTTTAGCCTGTTTGAGAGTGAACTTCTTTTCTAGTTTATGGAAATTAACCTATTTGTGGTTTCTACAAGATTTCATGTATCTGTCTTTTTTCTTGCATGCTTTTCTTACCTTACAAACGTAAGTATACAAAGATGGAGTTTTAAAAGTGGTTTCAGATAATAATGGAGAATTTGGTTGTACAGTTCTTGTTCGCAGATATTCTCTACATTATTCTCAGGGTCTGTTTTCTAGGGAAATGCTGTGTAGTCTTGCTCTTGAGGGAACCACACCAGGTGTAGTGAGCCCACACCACATGCAACTCCACAGCACATGGACACTCAGTGCACTAAACTGACATGGAAGCCTGTGTGCCTCTTCCATATTATTCCGTCCTTAACCTTGTTGCTCAATGAACAATTGCAAGCATTAAGCTCAGTTTGCAGTGACAGAGAGGAGCAAGCCTGGATTTGAGCCATGCAGGGTGAGCATGGGCCTCTTGTATCTTGAGATGGCCTAGTGTAGTGCCTGCATGCATATGCTGAGCCTTTGTTGTTGGACTGTCCTGAGACTTTTATGTATAGGACAGGCTACAGAAGCTTTAAAATAAATGAATGAATGCATCTGTGTGTGCAGTTCAAGGAGCGAAGGAGAGATTCCATGTTAGAGAATACTGCATTAGATTCAGTGGCTGCCTTTCTGCATATTGCTTTAAACCACTGTGCCCTAATGCTAGCATAATAATGGCTCCAGCTTGTCCATTATTATTCTCTATCATTTTGGCTGTGAATGAAGAATTTTAAAAATATATAAGGTGCGCATGTGTATTGGTTTGCTTGGATACATAATAGTGAGGGAAATACTGCAAACTAGTTCTGCCATGCTCAAGAACTAGAGAACAGAGGTTGCTTTTGTGACATAAGAACTGTTTAGCTGAATGGAGATGCCCTACACTTTAAATTTTTATTTTTATTTATTTATTTAGAAAATTTCTATGCCACCCCATTCGCCGAAGCCTCGGGGTGGCTCACAAATAAATCAGTTAAAATACTATAAATTAACAATATAAAACAAGTTAACAATATAAAATAAGTCGCCCTGGCCAAAGAATAAAATAAATAAATACTATTAACAGTTAAAATGATGCTTGAATAAAAAGGTCTTTGCCTGGCGCCGAAAAACAAATAACGACGGCGCCAGGCAGACCTCTCTGGGGAGCGCATTCCATAGATTGGGCGCCACCGCAGAGAAAGCCCTCCTCCGAGTACTTACCCTCCTAATTTCCTTCATGAAGGGTTCCCGGAGAAGGGCCTCTCCCGCTGAACTCGGGGCAGGCAGGCATATATGGACGTAAGTGCTCCTTCAGGTAACCAGGTAAATGAGACAACTGCCTTCAAATGAAAGTGTAGATACAGTAATAAATTACCTGTAGGTCTATTTAATTTTACTTTATGCAGGTTAAAAAGCTTGAGGGAAGGTTTGGATCAATAGTAATTACTCAGTTCTTTATTCTGGGTGTCCTTCTCTGACTTTCTGCATGGTACTAGCTTCTAGAAATAAATATGCTGAAACCACCTATTCTTCATGAAATCCTTCTATGTTTATGTGGAATTGACTTCCAAATAACCGATCTATGGTTGTAACACATTTCATTTTGCTACAAGCATGTGTAGCATCACAACCAGTGTTGTAAGGATAGAGAGCATTTTGAAGAACAGTCTCTGTTGTGGTGTTTGTGGATGCATTCCTTTCTGTCCAAAAGTACTTTCTATGCAGGTTACTGCTATTTCTTTTTCTTTTGCCCTTCAGTAAGCCATATGTCAACATTAAGGAAGCAAATTTAACTGTTTAACAATTTATTTATAGTTATGGCGTTTTGCTGTGGGAACTGCTTACGGGAGAAGTTCCTTATCGTGGCATTGATGGTCTTGCTGTGGCTTACGGCGTTGCTGTCAATAAGCTTACTTTGCCCATTCCATCCACCTGTCCTGAACCATTTGCTAAACTAATGAAAGGTACTTGTGCTGCTTATTAAAAACAGTTGCTATAAGGTTACTTGCATGTTGTCTATGATATATGTTAAGTTTTCAGTTTCAGCATTTCATCTGATACGGTGCTAACTTCTATTCAGAGATAGAAAGCATTGGTTTTCCATTTCATTGCAGTTCTGTACTAAAAATATGTTAACACATTCAGCACTGGAACATAAAGCTGCATACATCTTTGGAAGTGCGTGCTTGCTTATTCACTCAATTATATTCTGTTCTTCTATCAAAGGAGCTCAGAATAGTAGTGGAGCTTCAGATTAAGCTACGATGTGGTTTAGGTTGAGAGAGACACTGACGCCTAAAGTCACCTTGTGATTCCACAGCTGACCAAGGAATCAAGATGGTTAACCCCATCCAATCTCAGCATTGTAGCTAGTGCATTAATTGCCCTTTATAGCAAATGCCTAATCCCTAAAACTGTGATGATGGACTAGAAAATATATTAACAATGCTTGGTGAGATCTTGCAATGCTCATGGACCACCTGGCTTGGCATCCAATTACCTTGACTATTGTGGTTAAAATATCAATCAACAGTGACATAAAAAGCAGCCTTCAGTTATCCTTGCCTGTTCCTTTTCCTTTTAAAAGCTGACGTTTTTGCTCATTCCTACATTGAAAAATTCATATGAGGAAAAAGTATCTCTTGTGTGCCACCCTTTCTTAACACAGCACCAGATCCTATATTGACCAAGGGACAGAAAGCATATAGCAGGGCATATAGCAAGGCCTGGGATTTTGCATTGGGATTTTTTCACATGGCAGATTGTGTGTGGCCTGGGTTTTTTAATGCACATGGTGGATATATGGTGAATCAACTTTATTTTCTTCTATTCCTTTTTGAAAATGAATAGATCACAGAATGGCTATCTATCTTGCACACACTGATCCATGTGTATACCAAGTCACATGCCACCTTTCATGTAAAGTTCCATACACTCCCAGCATTGTGCCCTAGTGTATATAGTAAAAAGTCCTAGTCATTGCAATCTGAACAAAACTATCAAGGAAGTACTGTGTTAATTTTTATGAGATTTACATAGGAACAGTTCCAAGCAAAAAGGAAAAATGGTGCAGGTATGTATTTTTTTCAAAGTTAAACATTAATAGTTTAAAATTTTTGTAAACTGTTTTAGAGTCAAGTAGTTCTCCCTATTCTTCTGACTGATGTAATTGATGAATTTTAGAGTGCTGGGCGCAGGATCCTCATATCAGACCATCATTCACCTTGATTCTTGAGCAACTTACTGCTATTGAAAGCGCTGTGATGACTGAAATGCCTCAGGAATCTTTCCATTCCATGCAAGATGACTGGAAACTGGAAATCCAACAGATTTTTGATGAATTAAGAACCAAGGAAAACGTGAGTTCTAAAGACTGTGGTGCTTTCTGTGCTTCAATACAGCATCAAATTGTAATTGTACTTACCTCTTTTAAATTGCTGTGTTTAGTTTGTTTTCATTTCTTGTTCATCATCATCATGGTTTGAACAATTACTTCCCATTCTTAAAGCAGTTTTCTTAAGAACTAATGTGAGAATAACAGATCCAGATGTCTTGTATAGTATGGCTCCTGTCTATTTTCCTATGACACTTACTTGGGGTGTATCCCATTTCTTATTCTCTTAAAACTATGTAGGATGTTCAAATGTGGCTAGCCCTCATGGGTCATGAAAGCTTTAAGGAACATCCTGAAAGATGAATGTCATCTGTTCAACATAATTTGAAGCTCTAGACTGGCTGCCTTGTTTCTTGCAACTGGACAGGCATCTGAGAGGGATGGTTTGACTCCATGTCCTGCACTGAGCAGGGGGTTGGACCTGATGGCCTTCATGGCCCCTTCTAGCTATTCGATGATTATGTGATATGCTGTGTTGACTGCACTGACACCCATTTGCACATCACAGTGGCAAACTGTAGGTTAGTTAACCCACAATTTGTAGGGACACATGCCACCTGTGAGTCACTTCAAAATACTGTAAACAGCCTTTGATTGGAAGTTGTCAGTATGCCATGTGCACTTGACGAATTGGTTGTTTAGCCCTTAAATCTAAAGAGTTAATCCATAACTTAGTCCCTAGTCAATACATTGGCTCAGGTTTGCACATCACAGTGATATTCTCTGATCTCACTGGTTGCATATAGCATGTGTCCAGGGTTAACCCACAGCTTGCTGGCATGATTTGTGTGAACTGGCCCAAGGAGAGCCTTATTTTGTCTATTAGTATATTGGGGAAAAAGAAGGTCAATAATTTTGTAGAATTCATTTGTTAATTTGATAGCAGTGTACTTTTGTCGGTGTCTGAAATTGAACAGAACACATTCCTAAGCCATTTTTGGTATGTTTTATAAAGGAAGTTAAATCTAAGGTAATTCTATGTTCCAGCATGTCCTTCAATATTTAAATATATTTATATTTAATTGATTAAAAACCAGAACAAGTATTTGGTAGACGATTTAGAGACAAAAAGTTATAAAATTAAAGTTATACTTTAATTTTTTCATGTTCGTGGACTAATCTATGAATATTCAACAGATGTAGATTCATGGATATGAAGGTTCCTTAAAGAAACAGTGGAAAACATTAATTACAACAGAAGGCTTCAGGCTGAGGCACACATAAAGAAAATCTAATATTCTTGTGATAGGACTGTTTATAGTGACTTTAGTTGCAATGAATTGCCAAACAAAAGTTAATTTTTAACAAAGGGGGAACTTATTCACGTGCCTCACATTTTTCAGCATATGTACAACATACCAAGTTAACAACTTGCCATTCACAATTTTTAATGGGAAGCTCATTAAACTATCCCCTAGTTGTCTTTGATTCTCTACAATTAAAATATTTTATTTAGGAAGAGGAAGAAAGCCTTTGGGGCAGTGACCTGCCTGTTGGATTTTAGTTAATTGGTACACTGTTGAAAGCTGCCATTTTCTGCTTTAGTATAGGCCAAAGGAAAAATTGTGTCCACTTCCTAAAATAATCATTTGAAGGCATAATTTTGGAACTGTTATGGAGGCTAATAACAAACCCCACTGAAAGAAACAATATGACAATATTTCTGTCTTCTTCTTGATCCATCAAAGCCTACTCAGATTATTTGAAAATAGAAGGCACTTGTCTTTGTATAAACAAAATACTGTTAACCAGTTTTATTCTTTTTAAAATAGCACATATATAAGAAAGAGAAATAGAGAAGGGGAAGGGAGAGAGTTGTGGAGATGTAGTTTGTCTTCCTCTTATTTGATAAGTTGCCTGATATGCAGTCCATGAAGACTTTGCATGATTTTATCACAAGGCAGAAAACAGTGTCCTATCCAGTATTTCTGTAACTCTTGCTAGGAGTTGAGATCACGAGAAGAAGAGTTAACAAGAGCTGCTCTTCATCAGAAGTCTCAGGAAGAGTTGCTGAAACGGCGTGAGCAACAGCTAGCAGAGCGGGAGATTGATGTACTGGAAAGAGAACTAAATATTTTGATATTCCAGTTAAATCAAGAGAAGCCCAATGTGAAGAAGAGAAAGGGAAAGTTCAAGAAAAGCCGATTAAAACTTAAAGATGGGCATAGAATTAGTCTGCCTTCAGGTTTGTTTTTCTGTTTTCCTTCCTCTCATCTTGTATTTAGGAAGGCTAGTGAATTTGGTGTTTTGAATTCCCTAGCTGAAAGTTTCAGAAATTATCATTACTGTTAATTTCAAGTCTGTCATTATCTGATGCTTAACAACAGGGTACACTATTAGTGATATGGTGGAAATAGGTAATGTTTTGTAGAATGCTTGTGTGTTTAGTTTAGAGTTCTTATGCTATTAGTTGACTATAGTACCTCAAACCATGTTTTTCTCACACTTAATGGGCTTTTTAAAATATAACTGTGCTTTTTAAAATACAACTGTGGGCAACATGGATAATAATGCACCATGTCAAGTTTTAGTCTTGCTGTGGTGAAGTAAACTTTTTGGTGGTATTTCTATTATTTATTTAGAAGTGGCCTATCCGACCTCGAGTGCTTCTTGAGCTTGAGGTTTTTATACCCTTAACATTTCAAGGCTGTATCATTTTGGCTGCATTTGTACATCATGCTAAGTCACCCTGCAAATAAGCCATGGTTGCTTGTTTGTGAAACAGTCCTTGGTGCATCCGACACACATTCAGGCTGACCACAGGTTCTTCCATTCATTCCCGCCTGGTATGCCAGCCAGTTCCCAGTTCAGACAATGTTGCAGCAGAACATGCCTCCCCTCCCCTTTTCTATCCCAAATGCTACTCTTTTTCATTTCTGCTTCCCCCCATGCTCCTCACTTTTCTTCAGAGCCTCAGAAGTGTGTCATTGGGATGTTGTTTTGAGGGGTTTTATATGTTTGTTTTTCAGATGCAGAAAACTGTGCAGATATGTGAGCCTTTTAAAAAAACTGTCTGTGGTCTTTTGCAAGTAGAACTGTATGCTTACGGTTTTCTAGTATATTTATTCACGTCTGGTTAATGTCTTTGTTAGTTTGGGTTGTCAAAGAGTACAGCAAAGTGTTGTAGGTAACAGACTGACAATGTAAGACTGCAGATATGCCAATTTGAAGAAGAGGGGAAAATAGGTATACTGAAAAGGAACTGGCAACACAACAGCTCTCTTAGCAATGTAATCTTCTTGATTTTTATCGAACTACTCATTCTCTGTGTTGTCCACATTTTCAACAATTCCTCTGGGCATCCAGATGCTTAAGAAAGTTGAGAAATTACCCTCCTCCCCCTTTTAAACCTGGTCTTTCCCCACTCATGTTGCTTATTTATCTGCCTTTTCAGGGTTTTGTTTTTCATTTGTTTTAAGAATGGTTGGGCAACCTCAGTAGTAACTGTTCTGAAAAGGAGCCTCAAAAAGGGGAAAATTAAAATTTTGCCTTTCTGGAGTAGCTTGAGACAACAATGTATTTTTATTGTGCAATAAAAAAACAAATCCAAACTACTCCATTAGAGAATGAAAAAAAAAGAAAGAAAGAAAAAGAAGAAAATAAAACCACTATTTTAAATTAAATTTTGAAAGATCCCTAACACTATTTAAATATATATTGCAACCCTAGATATTAGTATCTAACGGAACATGCTATAAAATTATGCATAGACTTCCACAAAGGCAGCCCAAATATCCATATGTTTATCTGTTTGTAGATTATGTATAAATGCCACCCATTCAATAATTGAACATTTTATTAAATCCATCGTCTATAGCATTACATTTATCCTGTAATAGTACTCTTTTAGCTGTCAAAATACCACATAAAATCCATTTATATTGACCTTGCTTTAAATTCCAGGAGTTTCAGAAGAACATTTGTACCCTTAAACATTACAGAACTTTCAATCTCAAGATCTATCTGAATTATTTTATGTTATATTAGTCACAAAGTTGCACCTCTTTCCAAAAGCAAACTGTCATTAGACATTGTCAAAACATATGGAGAAGCATTAGCAGCATTATACCTCCAAGAATGCCCAAGGAATTGTCAAAAAATTAAGTTGGCCAATTTAATTAAGCCCTTATTCTAGATGTCCAATATACACAAAACATCAATTTTTACTGAATTAAGTATAACCTAAGTTCCATGACTTGTATCTCCTGTAGAAGAGTTAATACTGAAGAACTCCTTTGAATGGGTAAAATAGAGTGCTCCAGTTCATTTTTCTATTCTTAGCTGAGACCTGGTACTTCATATTTATTCACTGACAATAAATAGTTATACAAATGAATTGTAGAATGTAGCTGTTCAGCCTCAATCAGTGCTCTCAAATACACAAGGCAGCTTTGAAACTATTAAAGCAGCAGGTTGAGTCTAGATTGTAACCAATGTTTCAATCACACATTTTGCCATGCAGTCGTAGCCGGCAATTTATATTTAGTGTGCAAAGTAGAAAATGGTAAACAAAATATTGTCAGGACTGACAGGTCGAACTAAAGTAAAAATCAGCCTGTGCATCCAAGTTAGCCAAAGAAATGTTTTCTTGCCAATTTGACAATCAGAATCTCCCCATAAAGGTAGTTTTGCTTGTGAAATGTCAGCTGATGTGAAAATGTATGCCACAGTTTCCAGCTGCCACAACAGGAGGATGCAGGTTATTTCATCTGGTAAGATGAAAATACAGTCCACTTGGGAAGAGGATCCAGAAATGAATATTCCAGAACTGACAAAAAAGAGCATTCCAATCTAAGTGGAAAAGACCAAAATATACTGAGCCAATAGTCCTGATTGTCTAAGGAAAGATTGGGGAGGCCAAATCAGAGGACGTATTGAAATATGAAGGGCATGGGGAACTCCTAGTTCAACACTTGAATTCAAAAGGTCATGTTACCACCCTGTTTTGACTCACTCTGCATGTTTACTTTTACTGGCTATTTTCATTTGACAGCTTGGGAACTTTCACAAATTAGCATATATGCAATCTTGTTTTGTCAGTTTCCATCTAAGTTAACAACCGCAGCAGTATCTTTCCTTCGACAGCTGAAATTACCATGGGCATCAACCAGGCAAGACTACATATATTAGACAGCCATGAGGATGCTTACATCTATGTAAATAGATTTTTAAAAACCATGATGATATTTTCACACATCTCTGGGGTTGAAAAAGGTTGGTAAACCAGTGGCAGTCACTCCAAAGTGCTGGCTGGACATCAGTGGAGAAGTTGTTGCTGCCCGTAACACAGGCAAGACTCCGAAGAATGGCAGGGAGGACTTTAGATGTAGTGTTAGATTTTCAGCTTATGCTTACATTTTAAAAACTGCCTATCACTGTGTAAAGTATTACGTAAAGTTATATGATAGTCTTATGATAGTCTGAGTCTTTGGATTTTATTTAGAGCACTGAAACTTAACATGTTCTTTTCTTTCTACTAGATTTTCAGCATAAGATAACAGTGCAAGCTTCCCCAAATTTAGATAAACGAAGAAGTTTAAACAGTAACAGCTCTAGTCCACCAAGTAGCCCCCCAATTATTCCCCGTCTTCGAGCTATACAGTGTAAGTCAAAATAATTTTGTCATATTGTATGTATCTTGATTCTCTTGGATTATCTTATTCTTGTCATTTGCAGCAGATTTTTATTTGATTGCAGTTGCAGTCCTAAATGCATATTTAGACTGAAAAAAGTGTACCGTTCCCAGCATGGTTCATGCTAGGAGTTTTAGGACTTTTTTCTTTCCAGATATGAATGGAATTGTACCCTTTCTTACTTGGAAATAAGTTCCACTGAATCAATTCCTTCTGAGTAAATATATATAGTATTGATCTATAAAATGTTACTTGATAGTAACATGGTAGTAATTCAAAGGAGGTGAATTGTCTTGCAAGAAAAATAATGAACAATCATGATTAATAGAGTTAATTTTAGATTTATTTTTAAAGTTTGTAGTTTTAATAGTAGACTGTGGTTAGCATTAATCATGTGTCATGCTAATGTTAGCATAACCCAAATCATTTTTGAGTTTCCAGGCCAAAGTGGTTTAGAGCTGTTTTTCTGTTTTAATTTTCTGCCTGTTTCTTACTCCTGTCCCTCAAAGTATATTGGCTTCTTGACATGGAAAATTGGCTATAATGCTGGTCATTCAGTGCAGACATGCCAAAGTAATGGCACCTTGGATTTATAAATGCACTTCAAACCATGGCTTCTAGTTTGCCAGGCATTTGCAAACCATTATTTAACAGTGCAGGCCACATGATGTCTGAACTGCACCTAAAACTGACTATGACAAAGAGGATGAATTACAGAAAAGAGAGGAAGGACTGGAAAAAATGGGTGAATGCTCTGCTTCTGTTACCTTAATCATTTGTACAAATCTTTGAGAATCTATTCAGATAAGTCATCTTAACTTATGTGCTGACAGTATATTGTTTTTGTCTGAGTTACATAAGAAGTTACTAGTGTACACTTAGTACAGTAGAGCTTGGAAATGGCAAAATTCAGTAATGATGTACAAGAAAGGCAAAGGGCACAGTTAATAGCAGAGCAGATAAGAAACAACTAGAAATCAATCATAAAATGTTATTTGCTTTTAAAATTGCATCAAAACTCAAGCTATTTCTTCAGCCAAGAGTTTTGGATGCAAACTCTAGATGGCATGTAAGTATTACCGCATCTAGCACGAGAAAATTGTCTTCATCTGCGAAGTGGGTAAACATCTCAGTTATGTACCTCCTATAGCTGTTGCTTGTGCTTGCTCCAACATTTGTTCCACTCATGCTGGTAGGACTGCTAACAAAACACACAGCTACTAGCGGAATTTATTTATTTAATTTATTTATTTAAAATGTTTCTATGCCGCCCTCATCGCAACAAAGCCTCGGGACGGCTCACAACATTCATTAAAAAAATTACTATTAATAATTTAAAAACTGGTACCATCTCGGCTATATATATTAAAATCTATAAATACAATAATAATAAATTAACAGTTAAAATAACTTTTAAAAAGGTCTTGGCCTGGTGCCGAAAAGCAAATAACGACGGCACCAGGTGGACCTCTCTGGGGAGCGCATTCCATAGGTGGGGTGCCACTGCAGAGAAGGCCCTCCTCCGGGTACTCACCCTCCTAATATCATTCACGGAGGGTTCCCGGAGAAGGGCATCCGCTGCCGATCGTAGGGGGCGGGAGGGCATATATGGAATGCCAGTTATTGTATTTTTTCTGCCATTATGTTGGATATCTGCTAGCCAGGATAGCTACATAGAATTTCTACAGTTCCAAGTACCAGATAATGACAATGAACAGTTGTAAAGAATTGTGAAATGGTCTGCATAGGCAGAATTAAAGTTCTGGATCTAACACTTGTCCAAGTATAAAACTGGGCTTTCTGCAAGTAATAAAGCTTTGCGCTAACAGAGTGACATCATTGGACAACAAGTCTGTGCTTTACTATCATGATTTAACTGACCTTGTACGATTGGGAGTATTGGTTTTATTTTTAAAGAAACATTTAAAAATAATAGATTCCTAAATATGTCTTAGGAACGACTGAAAAATGCATGGGTAGTGTTGACTGGAATGTAGCTAGAGTTTTTTAGTGATGTGGGGAGAGAGACAGAGAGAACAGACTGTTACATTAAGCGTATATACAAGCATTTTCCCATTACACTGAGTCCCTAATGCTGGTTAATTATTCAGTATCTTCTGTTTGAGGGTAATAAATTATCACTCCTGTTTCCCAGAACTGAAAGGGACTATTGTCTGTCAGTTTTTCAACCTGGATGCCTTGTAAACAAAAGATTATTTTCTTCTCTTTGAACACCATTTTCTTAATCCTTGTTTCCATTATCTTCTGTTCTTACCGAGTTAATAGATAAAGCTGAAGGAGGGTTCTTACAGACATTAAAATTTGTGTACTTACTGGGAAAGAGGTTGAAATTATTTTTCTACACATTTTTCTTCTGGAGTTTCATCCAATCATGGCACACATCTGTTGCGATTCCTGTGCTTCATTGCATGTAGGCTTCGTACGGCATAGCAACAGCTCATAAACAATAGCTGTTCTCAGTTCAACAGCCTAACCTTCCCTGTTTTTCAGTGCAGTTTTGTGACCAAGATGTTACACTGGCTTAAATCACACTTCATGCCTATGGTTTGACATGATGTCCACATTGACTGCCACATAATACACAGTGATATCACACAGTTTCAGCAGCCATTGTCTGCAACCCTGTACAGTGTTTTGTCACTGTTGTCATTCTTAGGCTTTGGCTATAATTCAGCCATGCATATTTGTTCTTCTGTTTCTAACATGTATTTAATCTCTCTCTGCTTTGGGACATATAGCAGGCATTTTCAGTAGTGGCATTTACTTAATACCAGGTTGAGGTGCAACTTGGTGTTTTTATCAATATTCTTTAATTGTTTCTTTAGTGATATCCAAAACAGATCCACATACTGCTAATGGGCAAAGAAACAGTATTTATGTGTACCAGCAAGATGTAGATATCACAAGCGAATATGAACTTCCCAGTGGGGTTAAGAAAAAAGGCAAGACTACATTAAATCATACATGGTGTTGGTTATTTTAATTTCTTGGCTAATTTTGTATGAAGTGACAACCTGAACACTTACTTGGATATCCATTACAGATATTATATATTGGATTAGTACAAATACATAACTACTAATACATTAATCATAATTTTCTTCTGTTCAGTTGTATCATAAAAGGAATTGCTGTACAAATATATCTGATGTAAGTGTTTAGCATCTATAACTTGACTAAATTTATCTAAATATAAAGAAAAAATTGAAAGCATGAGAAGGAATCAGTAACTTTCTGTTGATTGATTTAATTTCTTTTCTTTCCCTCCTTAATAGATTAAATATTTCTTTGCCTGCTAAATGTGGTGATCTTTTTATCTGCCCTTCAGTGGGAGAAAATAATCTTTTTCACGGTGACAATGTCAGAGCAGGTTGTATTTTGAGAGATGCATTTTCATAAGTTTTGCTTATGAAAGAACTTCTATTGAGTTCTTTCATCTTTCTGCAGTAACCTCAGATGAAAGTAACAGAACATGGGGAAGAAGCACAACTTGTCATCAGGAAGAATTTGAAGAAGTGAAACGAAGTTTTAAAAAGAAAGGTTGTACGTGGGGACCAAACTCAGTTCAAACAAAAGAGCGTACTGAATGTAAAGAAAGGTATGGTGGCTATGTGATCAGGAAAATATGATACAAAGTGCACATAATAGTTATTGAATCTATTTATTATCATTCATAGGTGTGTGTGTGTGTGTGTGGGGTAGCAATATGAAGATGCAGGAATCAGTAGAACTCAATGGATTGGCAAGTGAATGCAATGACATCTTCTGAATGGCAGTTTTGTCTTTTGTGTCAAAATGAGTATGTTCAATGAGGGAAATCCTTTAGTCAAACAACTAAGCAGATTGGAAGAAAACAAGTCATTTCAGCTATTTGTCCAAGTATTAGCCTTTTAATACTTGCTAAGCAAAAAATGCTCTAAAGGTGGGGAGGTGGGTCTAGGGAGACAGTATATATTGATGCCCTGCTTAACCTTTAGCTCACTGGATAGACAAGGTGCTCTGTGCTTGATCAGTCAGTTGTACAGGAGTTTCCCCCCAGTGCTCAGATTGTCTGTGAATGGTTTCTGTGAGCTAGCTGTAGGACTGTCCGATTCCTGTGACCTTAGTATGGTTTAAATATGAGAAACAGGCGAGTCCACTGTTTAGTCAGGCATCAGTGTTTATTGGGATATTTGCAGATCTTTTAAAACATGACAACTCAGTGCCATGGCACATCATTTACATTAAGTTTTAAGAAAAAAAGGAAGGCATTGAACACTTTTAATATAGGCTGTATCCTGAATTAAATTAAATTTAAATTTAAATGAATGAAAGAGCTCCTTCTGACTGGTTCATATGACACAACAGCCTACCGTGGTTTAATTTACCTGCGGGAGCTGTCAGGTTGTGCTAAGTGCCCATGGGTGCCATATTGCGTGGCACTGACAGGCATCTGGCTTGCCATGTTGTGTGAAGCTCATCAGTATTATGCAACAGCCCCTATGGGTGATTAACTCATGGGGATCCATCATGTTGTACAAACAGACCCCCTGTCTTTGGAAGCAACTCCAATCCAGCAGAAGCTTCCACTGGAGGAAGAGGACTGGAGAGGTACTTTTCATTGATTTTCCTTGCACTTCTGTAGCCCCTTGTGCCACTCCCTCCCCTATATACTGTTCCTAACTCTTTGAATCAGTTTTCTGGAGTACCAGATAGGAGGTGCAATTGGAAAAAAAAGTTTCTTCCCTTTTCTACTGGAGAGAACATCCCATAAGTCAAATTCCTCTGAGAGGATCCGCCTACCAGCAGTATATTAGGATCCAAGCTATTCTAATTTTAGCATGCCTGATGAGCTGTGGACATATATTTGTTTGTTTTCTACAGAAAGTTACATGAAATCAGTTAAATACAGCTTAAATTTCAGATTTTACAAATATCGCATCCATTCCAGATGCACAGGTTTATTGCTGTTTGCTTTGATTAATGGCAATAGGCTGCTCAAAGGGTATGTTCACACATCACACTACCCTACTCTGGCACTGAACTACTGTGAGTTGACTTTGATGCAAAACCCCCCCCACAGATTCTTGGGTTGTTGGCCCCCCCACCCCCAGTTCTCCTGCAGGTATTTTAGTGGATACCACGAGATGAGTGAGCCATGCCTTCCATCCTTGCCACCATTATTTTGCAACTTTTTACTCATTTAAACTTTTTCTTATTTGTTGGGGTCAGATGGTGAATGCTGACTTTCAAACCAACTTTCACAATCCCCTTTTTGCCAGCTATTGGCAGTTCCTTCAAAGTGCCCCAGTGGCACAGATGCGCACGCACGCACGCACACACGCACACATATTTTGGTTTGTATTGTTTTATTAGCTGTAGTTGCACAACTGAACTTTCAAAGGTGCACTACTGCAATGATTTGAAGCTCCACCTGGGGCAATGTCCTGGGAATAGGTTCGCTTTTGCCCCATTTGGTTTTCTTAACAGCCTTCAAAAGATGAGCTGCCACAAAACCCCAAGGGCAAGTGTTATCTTTAGCTGCAAAAAGCTGTTCGGTGGATTTATGCTCCCCCTGCAACAATTTTTTCATCCTTTGCACTAAGCATATATGTCTGTGTATGTCCCAGTCCACCCCCCTTCCTCCATCTCACGCTTAAGACCCCTGTTTTAGGAGGAGCCAGAGTTTTGACAGTTAGCTTTCAGAACTCATTTTTCCTTTGAAAAGGGGAGTGGTACATTTTCAGTTTCTTGAGCCTAAGCTTGGAACAAGTACAAAATGTTTATCCTTGTGGGAACTAAGGGATAAAAACAATGATGAGGATGTTGTTGTGAAGGGGCACAAGTCTGCCAAAGTACCCATTTTCATGGCTAAAGATTACTTGTAACTTGCATTTTTCTTGACTGTTTTCCTTCTGACAACTGTCAAGGAAAAATGAGGAGAGTGTTTGGAGCTTCTTCCATTGTCTGAACTGAAGCTTCAGCACTCCATAGTAACACAACTCCAAAAGTATGCAGTTGTGCAACTGTGGCTAAACAGTTCTGTCTGTCTGTCTGTCTTTCTTTGAAAGGCTGAACAACTATGAGAATACCTTGCAACATGCTGCTTGGGCACTTTGAAGGGACTGCTCATAGCTGATGAAATGAGGATGATGAAAGCCAGCTTTCATGATCTTCTACCCAAAAATGTTAAAGGGGGGATAAACCACTGTGAGCCCAAAATGGCCGGTAGGGGGAAGAGGAAGCCAGTGCTAGATGTACTTAGGTACCACTTAGGCATAGCTGGCACTCACTCAAGTGCTCCATTGCAAGAGTAGAAAGGGGTTTATGCCAGTCTTGCCGTAGGACTGAGTTCAGATAACATGAAAATCCATCATTGGTACATTATTGGTGCAATAACACCTTCAGCATCCTAAGGATTGTCAGGGTGGTTTGTTCCCACACAAGCTACTCTGGGGAAATGGGTCTGGATTCATACAAGGCAACCTACAACCACTTTGTCATCACATGTGAACCCTGTCATCCTGAAAAGCATAGCTTTGATTTTGTATGTATTTCATTCAGGAACTGTGGAATACCTTTGTTGCCCCTTTTTCATGTCATTTCTATTCCTGGTTCAGAAAAAAAAATCCTTGTCATGCACTCTGAATAAAATTTCATTTAAGTTTGTGCTAAAAAAAGAAAAAAGCAGTAAGATTAAATCAGTGGCCAAAACTAGAATCTAACCAGGCTGTTTTATTATGAACGTTTTAAAATCATAGAACAAAGAAACAGAACAAGTCAGAAGGGGTCTCCTGGGCCATCAAGTCTGTCTCCTGATTCCAGCTGGCTCTGCTCATGACATGCCTACCATCTTAGAAATATGTTTTAATATTAGTCCTTAGGTTTCGGTATCTTACTATGTACAAATAGTTTCTTTTTAGTTTTCTTTCTCTTTCTCCTGACCTGTGGTCTGGAGACTATATAATAGGTTATCCGGGACTGTATCAATGGCTATAACTGTTCTGGGACTATGCGGAATCTCTTCTTAGATTTAGGTTTCTTACTACATCAGTAGAGCCATGGCATCTGTGTGAAAAGAATGATTTCCTTCATATCAAAGACTTGTTCTGATTTCAGAGTAAGACCCCTCTCAGATGGCAGTAGTCCTTGGTCAACACTTTTGATGAAGAATCAAAAAGGTGTCCCATTAGCTTCTTTGTTCATGGACCAAGGTGAGTGTATTTATAGCTTTAAAAAGGAAATGATGTTTTCTCAGGATCTAGTATAGATTAACACCCAAAATGAATTGCTTTCAGGGTGCTTCAGTTCACTCATGCTTTGACCTTTCTGCACATAACAATACATGCACCTGAACTCCACAAAGCTTAAGAGTATATGGTGGGATGGGGGGCTTATGCTCTTGAATTTGGCATCACTTATTGCATTGCCAGTCTGATCAGTTCCCTATCTTGCGAAGTAATGAAATATAAGCTCCTGTCTCACCTTACAAATCACTTGATCTATGTTGATAAGTGATAAGTTCCAAACATACTACAGCATTCTCTCACATCTGAGTGAATTAATGGAAAAGAAGCCAACAGTCACTCCATTAACTTGGGTGATAGAACTTTGTACTTATAAGAGTGATTGGAAGGTCTAAAAAGGAATTTCCTATGAGATATAAGGAGCCATGTTGTTCAGAGAAAAATATCATGTTCCAACTTTTCTCATGGTGTCAGATGTAGCTATTACAAGTCCTGATCCAGGTAGACTTGCCCTGACCCTGGGATCCTTTGAATGGAAACATTTGAGATTAAACATGAAGTCTCAGATACAAATCATAAGATACTGTTTGGTTACATGTGTTATTCAACAGAATGTGCAAAGGCATTTAAAAAAAAAGGGAACCCCAAAACAGCACAAAAGGTCAAGCCAGTGAGATAGTTCACACATCACAGCATCACATTGTGGATTAACCCATGATTTTCAGGGACCTGTGGAATGTGTGAACTGCACTTGAGCTGCTTCTAATTTGAATAATCACAGTATTCTAATTTTCCATGCAAAATTTACCATTTTATGAAATGTATTTTTCATAAAATCAGTTAGTAACATAATGCATAAATACCACCCAAGTTAAATTGCACAACTGGAATAGGTATAATTACTAGTAAAATCTGAAATTGTAATCAACATTTCACACGTGACTATCGTTAAACTAGTTTGAATTTATGCCCCCTTTTTAGGTTGGCAGTACAACATCTGAACCCAAACACTTTCGGTTGCTTATAGGTTATAGAACCTAGAACTAAGCCAACAAAAATCATAGGTTAACCCATAAATAGCTCACAGTGTCTGGGTTGAGACATCCTGCTAACAACTCATCCAAACTGGAAATGACTCACGTGCAGCTTGCGTGCTCCACAATTTGTTGCAAACTAGGTCACTATACAGCCAGCAGCCTCATTGTGAAAAACATTAAATTCAACTTAATCCACCATCAGCCTTTGCTAAAGAAGTACAGTGGGTTGCCAGCTCAGAAAACAATTGCTGCTTTGTTGTAACAGGTTAAGTATTTCCTCTTAAAGCAAAAAGGGTATGTGATGTACAGTGATCTCTCCTTTAATTCTTGGTGAATACATATCACAACTATGCAGATATATTGCAACTCTTAAGAAGTCTATAATTTCATATTGGTAATGAATAAAATTGAATTTTACATTTGAATATAAATACTAGAAAACTGTTGTGTCTGTACAGAGCAGAAACTTTCCTCCGAAGGTCTGGATACTAAGCGACCAAAGCAGTTAAAATTGCCAAATCAGGCCTACGTTGATCTACCTCTTTGGAAGGATGACCAAGGACTAAATTCTGCAGAACAAGAGAGTTTCGATGAAGCAAATTCTGCAAGTTCTGCAAATAGCACTCCACAAATGACCCCTACAAACAGTCTTGGTAGAACAGTGCAGAAAAATAAAACTGAATCTGTGTTATATGGGTGTGCTGTCCTTCTTGCATCCATAGCTCTGGGCTTGGATATCCGCGAGCTAAACAGATCGCAGGTTCCAGATGAAGCCCTGCCCAAGGAAGAAAAGAAAAAGCGTGATGGACTCTTCCAGCGAGCTTCTAAGTTTCGAAGAAGTGCAAGCCCTGTGAGGCTGCAGGCCAAAAAAGAGGAGACACACATCCCTTCACTCTGTCCTTCTGCAAGTACTGTGAATCTTCTGTCTATGTCTTCTGTTTCCACGAAATGCCTCCTTCAGTCTGATAGCGAAGATACAGTTGTGAACATACCACGCAATAACAAAGATGTACCTGCTGAGCAATATTTGTCTGAAAGCCATGTAAGCAAAAGAGGACACTTGGTCAAAGATGATCTTGCTATCGCTTCTAGTTTGCCGTCTCCCAGTGTTCCTCTGAAGCAAAAAACTCAGTGTATGGCAAATGCTTCTTCCTCAAAAGGGAGAGTTTGGAGTCACAGGCGGACCATGTCAGATGGAAATCCATGTCAGTCTACAAGTGAGTAAAAAAAAAGTTCCATAATTGTGTTTGTTTTGTCTGTAATTACTAATTACAGGGAGTCCCTGGGTTCAAATGAATTCTGTTCCTGAGAAAAAAGAAATTCCTCTTGAAGTCAAATTTTTAAGTCAAATCATGTATATTCAGCCTTCCACATTCATGGGGGTTAGGGGCATGAAAAGTGTAAAAACCACAAATATTTCTTGCTTCCCCCACCAAACCTGCCAGTGCCTTCTCTTTGCAACAAGGGAATGCTGGAGAGATTTCCCTCTCTGGGTGGACAGGGCAGGAAGGCATGCTTTGGAGGCTGTCCCTCTTTTCCCTTTTGCTTCCGCTTTCTCTCTGGCAGCGACAATTTTCTGCAGTAATTCTTTTTAAATTAAGAGACTGTATGACTGTCTGTTCATAAGTATGGGTTGTTTGTAATTTGGACATTCATAACTCAGGGACTGCCATCATGAACAAAACAAAACCATCATGAAGTAGTAATTTGCTTCATTAGCAGTAGATGACAAGGAACCAATGAAAGTTAGTTTTATACTGGCTACCCCATCTTGGAGCTGAAGCCAGCTAGATGGACAAATAGTCTGATACTGCAGCTTTCTTTGCATGTGATTCTCTCTATACAGAAGGAAAGGAAGTGAGAGGAAGATCAGGCATTGATGCATAGATAGATCCCAAAGTACAGCTACTACAATGACTAGATTCTGCTTTAAGAACTTGAAAGTAGTCATAAGACTTAATGGGTTACAGCCAGTTTCCTGAGTTGCAACTAGAAACCATTAACTGCATATCACAACCAGGAAGTTAATGCCATTTGTCCATAGCCTGGAGTGGTAGTTAAAACAAAACTTTAGCTCAAGCTGTTATTAATCTGTTACTGTCTAGGTGCTGATCTACTGATTGTAGTCTGCTTTGAGATGAATGATAGCAGAAAGGCTTTAAATATCCCAAAGACCAAGACCTGACCTGACCTAACCAAGGACTATCCATTTTGCTATATGTATTTATTATATTTATATCCCACCTTTCTTTTTTTAAAGAACTCAAAGACACTTAACATCTTTCTCCTCTTCCTGCTCTCAGTCTTATCCCCACAAGAGCAACAACCCTGTAAGGTAGGTTGGGCTGAGAGTCTGTGACTTACCCAAAGTCACACAATTGACTCCATGGCCAAACAGGGACTAGAAGTGAGATTACCTGAATCTCAGACCTGCAAAAGCATTGTTTGTTTCAAAAAATTACATGACACTCTTCATGCTGTTAGAATGTCAGGATAGTGTACATTCAGTTATATCACAAAACAATGAAACAGAGAATATCCACATCTCACAGTAGTTGGCATTTCATCCAGAATTTATTTATTTATTTATTACTACTCTTTCACATGCAAAGAGAATGAAAGACAGCAGAAGCTTACAGAGTAACATAAGAACTATCCTACAGCTGCTCTACAGAATGCCTTTAATACATTAAATATCACGCCATCCCCTTTATACAGTTCTCCTGCTTCTAGAATTGCTAACAATGTGTCCAAGTCATTAATACATTCGCTACTCCCTTTCTACTGTATATGGTCATCATGTGCTGTCTTTTCATTTTCTGTTTACTGATTTTGTCCTCCACCTAGCTAATGGAATTGCCAATGGGGCTCCAGAGGTTCCGCATACTCCACCTCTCCAACAGAAAAGTTTCTGCAGTGATCCTTCACCTGTAAAGCAAGGAACTGTCAATATTATACCAAGACCTCGACCATCCTCTTTAAGAATCCGGCTGGATCCGTGGCAGGCAGTTTCACAAAGTGTGAAGTCAAGCCCTTTTGTGGTAGATAATTTAGAGGGTGATAAAGGACGTACAAAAGCTAACCTGTTGACGGATGCCAAGGAGAGAACTAAGTCCCATATGCCCTCTTTACTTGATATTGATGTAGAAGGTCAAAACAGTGACTCTACTGTGCCTTTGTGTAGGATTAAGAGTAAAGCATGTCGACCATCAATATATGAACTAGAAAGAGAATTCTTGTCTTAAGTGCCTTGTATTTTTAATGTTTTTAAAGAGACAAATATGTAATGATTGTTATGTGTGCCTGTGATGACTTTATGCTACCTTTTTCTAAATTTTACAATCAGTAGAACTGGTATTGTACCAGACAGATACTAAATATGGATATAATGTTAAAAGGGAGGGATGCTCTCCAACCTCATCTGTAGTGTTGATGTTGAAGAACGGTATTCTGAATGATAATCAATACATTTCGCAGAATTTTAGTATACTTTCCCCTTTTTGTTAAATGTCAAGATCACATGCACACACACACACTTTTTTTCCCTACAGCAGTTTCAAGTTTGTCTTTAGTGTTATATTTCATTAACAATATTATCTGCAATATTTTAGATCTCCATTGTAGTCCAGAGATATTCTGCCTGTCACCAGCTTTTAGGAAAGAATGCTCTTGTAAACTGTGACTTTCTTGAGATGCTGTTGTGAAAGTGTACTATGCTTTCTTGAATACAGATATGGTAGAGACTACATTTAGTAAATAGCCACACTGGACAATTTTAGGACACAGCTGTGATATAATAACAGTTAATGTTCCCTTAATTACAATAAAGGTAGAATTTTCCTAAAGTAATTGCTCCTAATTAAACCTGAAGTTATACAGAAATATGCATGTTTGGGGTCACAATTTTCAGTTGAAACATATTTTGACTAGGCAATCTTAAGACAGTAATCTGGTAAAAAAAATAAGTTTCATATGCACTACCAGGGCGTTATGGAGTGAGACACAGCAACAATGTAAATTAAGCCACTCTAGCATAATGTCAAAAGCTTCCACTACCTTGCTGATTTCCTCAGGGGATTTTTTTTTCCTGGAGAAATCAGGATACCAATTAACGTTTTTCACATTGTGCTCTAAGAGTTTATGCTAGCACAAGGTCATTTATATTGGTATTTATGTCCTGTTGGATATTGCTTTTGTTATATTTTGGCAAAGGTATGTGTATACCTATACATCCTGTTAATAATATATTGTTAGTAACCTGATCACAGTTACTAAATCAAGACCAACTTGCTTTAATAAATGTAATAGAAACAGAAAAGGGCATTTTAAAATGAGCTTTGTTCTGTTCATTGTACTTAATGTCCACTGCAAATGAAAATATTAGAGAATCTCAATTATTAGGAAACTTTCAATGGAATAAGTATTTCATATATTTGTGCCAGCTGTGGCAATGCTCATTATTTGAACATGTCAGTATATATAAGATCTGAGTTCATATTCAGTGTCATTAAACACAAATTAATTATTGGTCAAAGTGCACTTGAAAGTGATAACATGAGCAATTTAATTTAAATCCTGTTCTGGCCAGTTAGAATGTTACAGTATTGGTGCTAAATGAATTCTTGAAGGCATTATTAAGGTCGTAAGTTTTCTGGAATTGATTCTCCTAAATTCTTCAAAAGTTGTGTCACTTTGGTATATTAATAAGTGCTTCACAAATGAAGATGGGTGGTAACAAACCATTTATCTGCTGTATTTGTGGGACATTGTTTGAAAGGTTTTGGCAAAGATCTAAACATTGCAGTGCATGATTGGAAAGGGCTTCCTTGTGTATGTGTGCTCTAAGCTTACCTGCATGTAGCCTTTGATTGTGATGAATTTCACTCTAGAAAGTCCTCTCACAAATGAGAGCAGCTTGCCGGGAGGGACCACAGTGGGGAAAGAGGGTAAAGAAGCACCACTGAACACAGGGAGTGACCCTGCCCAGAGACATTTCGATTCCACCCTTTTTCATTCCTTAAACATTAGAGGTTGGATTAACACATCACAAAGTTTTACGGTAGTGCCAAGTATTAAAAGTGCTGCCCTCTGCTCCAAAGCCATATTCTCTATTCATTTAAAGTTCATGATGATAGATTTGTTAATTATAATGGGTGTGAGTTGCAATAGTGTATTTGTGTTCTGCTGATGGTGACATGTAAAAGTAATTTGTGCAAAATGGCTTGGAATAAGCTGAGAAGAAGAAATTACCAATATTTCTTTTGACTCAAAGTATTATGTCTACTAAAATGTTATGGCACACTGTCTGCTAGTTATAATTGTTCTTGTGTTTGTATAGTAGGTAATAACTTAAGAGTTTTGTTTTTAGTAATAACTCTTTCTATCCAATACTTTGGATAGTTCTGTCATTTTCTGACAAACAGTAGCTTTTGAAAGCCTCATATGCTGTGCAGTAGTTTTTAAAATTGCCCCTTTAAGTCAGGTACAATTTAATTGAATTTTAGAGTTTTATCATTTCAAATTTAATTATCTGATTCTTTGTGTAAAGATAGGTCACAGTTGTATAGGAAAGTCTGGTAAATCATGCATGTAGTTGGTATATTTGATATGTGAGGCAAATTCTAGAGACTCTAGGTGTAGTTTCTTTTTTCTGGAATGAGATAGTAAGCCCTGGTTTGCATGTAACACCAGCCCATGGTATGGCTTTTTGAATTCTGGGTTGTTGTGTGAACACTGAGCACAAACAACCCAGAAAGAAAATAGTTTGTTATTGGGTTGTGAACTGTGGATTATTTAAAACATGCATTGTTATGTGTGAGCCCAGAACTGTGGGTTGTTCATGAGTTGTTTTGCCTGGCTACAGGAACAGTAGACAGGTCTGTCTGTCTGTCTTTCCTTCTGTCTGTCCCTGTCCCTTTGCCAATACTACAGTACAGCAAAAACATTTGGAATACAGGGAGGGAATGGTAAAAGAGGAGAGCAAAAACATCTCAGGAATTGAGAGGACAAACCATAGTTTGTTCAATCATCTATGAGACAAATTATGTGTAACAAACCATAAGATATATAAATCATGTTGATGTTATGTACAAACCAGGCCTAATAATCTCATCCTAAAGAGGTTATCTTTGCCTTCTCCATGAATCTCTCAGGATGCATAGTCAAATACCTTGGGCTGGAACCAGACTTTACTCCCACTGGTAGAAGGGGAGAAGAGACTTTAGCCATTTACTCTTCTCCTTGCAGCAATTTGTGCCCTGCAAAAGCTTGTTCTTTCTAGAGCAGATTTTCAAAGCGTAATGACAGACTTAATAACAGTATCCTTAAGTCTGTCATTCGCATAACAGCGAATGACAGACTTAATAACAGTATCCTTCCCATTCGGCTCTCTGGAGTCAACTGCAGTCCCACCCCGTCACTACCTACAATAGATCAAACATTTTCCATGGATCTTCCGTTTAATCTTCCCACCATGGAAGATTTCACAAAATCTGACTGCAGACCCTTATAAATGGGATCTGTTTTTAATTTCATCTTCACAGTTAATTTTGACATGCAGTGTAGGAAGAAGGATGAGCACATTTTAAATCAGAGTACCTTAGATATGCTTGACTTTGGCAAGATTGTGCGTTACATTCTGATTTCTTGAGAAAACTATATTGCTCAAAAGGTATGTACCTGCCTGTCTGAATATTTATACCTATGCAGAATTCTGCATTCATGTAAACAAACAATTAGTCCCAATCATCTGTGATGATATCTAGATCAATAAGTTGAAATAAATGTAAGAGATAGTTTTGCATGGTATAAGGAGAAATCGTGTGAATTGTCTCCAATAAAAAGGTTCTGTGTGTCAGAAAATTTTAAATTCTAGTGTGTTGTATTTTATACTTTACTATCCAATTTTATATTTCACCATTCTAGCTTGATTTGCAAATTTGAACTGTAGACAGTGCTCTGTCTATATGAGAAACAAACATTCCCAGTTATTGAATCAATAATATACTTTCCATTCTCATTCTGTGGACTTTATTGGAGTAGGAGCACCCACATTTCTCCTGGACCATACAGCATTTAAATACCATTCCCTGTAGGGTCCTTCTGTGCCACCTTGCAGGAATGGTTGGAAGGTGCTGTTCCACATATTTTTGGAGAGCATGTCCCACATGGCATCCCATTCTTATGTTTACAGGGCCTCAGAATGGTCATCCATTCTTTAGAAGATCAGTCTGTGTTTTATAGACTTATATAAAAGTTTTATAGATAGCAAAGCCTTTGACTGTGTGGATCATGAGAAGCTGTGGATGGTCCTGAAGGAAATGGGTGTATCTCAGCACTTGATCAAACTGATGCATAACCTGTACCACCGACAAAAAGCTACTGTTAGGACAGAATATGGAGAAACAGAATAGTTTCCTATAGGCAAAGTTGTCAGACAAGGGTGTATTTTATCTCCCAGAATTGGTCCCAGGACAGAGCCCTGGGGAAGCCTGTTTCTTACTGGCTGCCATCCTGATGATTCCCCGCTAATTGACTGTAAAGGAAACCACAGCCTTGACAAGACATGATGGCATTTTGTGAAGGACAGCATTTTGGAGAGCTATCATTCTAGGTTCAACGTAACTTGAGGATGACTTGATGGCACATAACAACAGGCTTCACTAATCTAAGGCACCCTAGACAGGACTACCCCATCATGCATTTGGCATCTCCAACTGTTATAAAACTCCATTACCAGATTGTTTGCGGGAATCATCCAGTTAAAGCACTTCACCATTACCTGAGTTACGCTAGTTGCCTGTTTGGTTTTTACCTTCTGAAAATACTAATCACCTTAGGACATATCCTGAAGACCCCCTCCTTCTCTGTCTCCCTTGCAGTCTCCATTCCAGATACCATCACCAAAGGAAGCTGAGCAGATAAATACCCAGGAGGAGTTCCATTAGTAGCATCAGGATGCTTGAGGTCTGCTAGGCTCCATCACAGTGTGCCTTCAACACTAGCTAAACCTGGCACTTTCAGAAGGCCTTTGGGATAAAATTGATGCTGTTTTACTTGGGTCTCTGTTGTAGTGACTGCCGATGGTTTTGATTTTCTGTATTAAGGGATTTTTTACTGTTAACTAGGTTTTCTACTGTGCTGCTGCTGTTTGTATTGTGTTGTGTGTTGTCTGTTTATTTCTTTTTATTAATTAGCTTATTTAAGTTTATTTGTTTATTATATTTGTACAGAGAATCAGGACTCCCATGTAGGCAATTTGTGAACAACAAATGCTGATCTTAAAGGCGATAGGATGCAGTAAAGTTCATGTGTAGTTGGGCACAATGATGTGTTCCAATCCAAGCATTTTTTAAATATTTTCATATTTTTTAATTTAGTTTAAAATTTAAAAAACATTTTTAATAGTATGGTTCCTTCAAGGTCAGCCTCATTGCTGACCGGCAGCTTTAGCCAACTCAGGAATTTGGAGGCACAGCAGCTCACCTCGTAGTGTTGGTTGGAAGCACCCATATGCTTCCCCTGTCAAGAGACTTGCCCTAAAGAAAGCACTGGTGGGTCGCTACCCCACAGTGCATGCTGGAAATGGGATCTGCAATGCGACCTACAGTTTTTCAGGTTGCCTTTTCCTTGAAATGTTACTGGCATTTCCTAACTTCAGACTCCTTTAGCTGTGGAAACAATAACTAGAGCGGGTGGGGGAAAGAGCCACAGTTTTAAAGCGAAAAACAACACAATTTGCTCCCAGCCTTTAAAAGACCAGTTTAGCTCCACTGATCTTTGTTACACTTTGTTAAAAAGTGTAATTTTACAGATGCATTTGGCACTCTATAGATTGCACCTATAGATGTTCCCTTTTGTTTGTTATCAGACTTCAGTCCAAGAGTCGGACAAAAGTCATTAAAAAAGAGTTAACCTTAAAAAACCTTTAAAAAAACCGTCTTTATTGTAGGTGTGCACCAGCAATACAGAGTGAGCCCATCCAGTGGAGATCAGCTCTCATTCACTGAACATTCTCTCTCTCTGTTTGTGTGTGTAAACATACATATATATGTGTTTAATTTGAGGATGACAGGAAATATAACAAGATGCATTTCATCATAAAGGCAGGATACATTCATTAATAGTAAAGAAGCACAGTAAGGAAACATTCAGTTACTTTTGTACAGGGTTACCTTGACTTACTCTTCTTTCCTGGGTGCCAAAACGGTGCCCTTCAAGCATATCTTTACACATGCTGACCTTCTTGATAAAGGCTTATTTTATATTTCTTTGACCTTCTTGTGTCTGGACCTTGTTATAATCAGGGAAAAAACGTCATATTCTTCACTCCACGCTACAAAGGTGCTGTTCAGTAGACACAGCTTTGACATGACCCATGGATAAGGACTTGTAGATCATCCTTTAAGTGCCTGTTCAGTGCCATCTCTCAACTATAGTTGGTCATCCTGTATAAGACTATTGCTACATATAGAGCAGCCTTTCCCAATTGGGAGCTTCCCTGATGGGTTGGGACTATAATTTCCATCATCCCCAGTGACTGTGATGGCTTGGGATGATGGATATTGACAAAAACATCTGTAGGACAACCAGTTGGAGGAAGCTGATGGACAATATCATTGCGTTAGACATTATCGTTGCTGGCTTTTGCTTTTTCTAAAGATTATTATTTTTATTACATTACATTCTACACTACCTGTAGTTTAAGCTGTCTGGGCAGTTCACAAGATTCCAGTCACCCCTCCAGATTTCAACCAGGCTTAGCTTCCAAGATTAGGCAGGGTCAGGCACTTCAGGCTATACAGAAGCTCATAGTGTTAGGTAAAGAGAATAAGTTAACTTCTGGAGTACATAAATGTATGTGTTTTTGTAAGTGAACACCAGAGTGTTCAGGAGAAGTGGAATGTTTTTTGAGCAACTTTGCTTTTTTTCCCCCAGCTAATTTTTCTTTAAAAAAAAGTTCAGCCACATATATTGATTACCTCTTTATGCCACCAGAGGGCAGTGCTGGACTGTCTTAATTGTGATGACCTTCCACATTTTTGTGGATGACAAACCTACATCATTTGAAATACATATTAAAATCCCAGTTCATTTGGAAATGTCGAACAAATTGTGTACTGTTAATCTAAATTTTAGAAGCTAATACTTGCCTTGCTTAAAATCATATCTGAAAACTAGCCCGAGCATAATTTCCATTATTTATACCAGAAGTTGTGAGGATATACCTTAATCCTTTTATCACTGCTTCTTCTTTAGGCATAAACATCTGGATGCAGAAAGCTTATTGTTATCTTTTATTTTGTGAACTTTTACTCATGCTCTTCTTCAGTGTTCTACAGTGTAACCCTATATGCATCTATTCAAAAGTAAACCCCATTGAGTTCAATTGGACTTATAAACAGGTAACACATGTATAAGATTGTGGCCCTTTTCACTTTATAATGGTGTTCGGTCCTTTGTAAGTTGAACACCTCCTCTCAGTCTTGTTACAGCAAACCATTTTGGGTGGAGTTTTTTTGGAGGGGGGAATGTTATTTTAAATTCACCTTAAAGGGGTTGAGAAACATTTAGAAAAATGAAAGCGTTCCATTCTGTTTTCTATGGATTTATGCTACCAACCTCAAAAAACTTTATTTGATGCATTTAAAGTAGTAGTATTCGATGGCATATTCAGCCTTTTAAACTCTTAAAAGAAATGCAAGGCAGCTTACATAGCCCTCCATTCTACTTTACCCCTGTGGAATGGGTTGGGCTGAGGTAAGTACTGGCCCAAAATCACCCAGTGAGCTTCACAGTCAAGCGAGGACTAGAATCTGGATCTCCTGGGTTCCCGAGGCAATACTTGGACTACCACACCACAGTGGCTCTCAATGTTCTCAGCCTTAGGTAGTGATAAATTAGCACCTTAACATATGCCTCTAGTAAGAATTTCCTAGAATAGGTGTATTCCTCTTCTCATTGCCACGAGCATTGCAGCGTTTTAGAGGACTGGCAGGTGATGCGATGCGGTTGTGTTTGGGGATCTCCAGCTTTGTTAAATGAAGACTGCTTTTCACTCTCTCTGCCCACTGACAGAAGATAGTGGGTGCTTTACCCAAATGGTGGCTTTCCTGGGCAAACGGCTGGATTTTATATTTTCAGAAATGGGAGGGTCTTTCTTCTTCACAGCAGTTCTAAGAACAGCTTTGGGAACTCTAGATAAAATCTGAAACTATCACAGGCTTTCCAAGTTATAACAGATGTTTTAAAAAATCTGTTAAGAGAGTGATTTTGTGTTCTGATTTTTTTCTGTATTTTCTGTTTCCATAGGTATCAAGTTTTAGCTATGCAAAAGGTTCTCATTTGGCGAGATTTTCAAGCCACAGTTTTCTTTCTAGACCGTCGAACATACTTTCCACTGTGATTGTTCTTTATTAGCTACTTTTATTGTTGGTCAGACTTTTTTTCTGCTCCTGGGTTTGGTAATGGCGGCTGTTTCAATGCAAGGAGAGCAAACAGATCATTTTGGTTTTAGGAAATTGCTTTTTGTGCACAATATCTTGTATCAATTTGTGGTAACTCTAACATGAGAAAACAGCAGCTCCAGGGCCTTTCCATTTCACAAAGTCTGCCATTTTCAAGACTTTTGTGAAATTCTTGACAGGGTGTAAACCGTGACACAGTTTGAGAGCAACTCTCCCTTAGCAGCCTTAGCGGTTCCTTCTTTTCTCTTAGCGGTTCCTTCTCTGTGGAGTTCCCTGCCAGAGGATGCTGGCACCAACGTTGCTTTGATTTTGGCATCAGCTAAAGGCTTTCTTATTTCAACATGCTTTTCCTGAATGAACAGCCATAATTTATGGTATAATTAGATTTTAAATATTTTGACTG